TTCAGATTTTTCCATAACATAACAGAGAAACCCAGACAAACTTTTTGTCCCACCTAATCTTTTTAAGGCCTTGTCTGCTAATTCCATTATATCTAACATTTCTGGGTCTGTTTCTGTTTCTTCAGGTTATGGGTCATATTTTCCAAACTGTTTCACATATCTAGCTATTTCTTATTAGATGATGAAATGTGGTATTAAGTTGTTGAGTATTTGGATTTTGTCATCATCCTTTACAGAGTATCAGTTTTTTTGTTTTGCAGGGCACTACGTTACTAGTGGGCTGACTTGGTCCATTTAAGTCTTTTTAAAACCTCTGTTGTGATCTATTTAGCTTTTACTAGGCTCTTTGCAAGGTCATCCCTGAATGCTAAGTCTTTCCACTCTAGCTCACTGAAGTTCAGGTGTTTCCCAGCCCTGGGTGAAGGCTAAGAATTGTCCAGCTTCTTTTCTCACTAATTGTACTTTGCCTGGTCTTATAGAATCTCATCATAGCATGCAATGCAGCTTGGTGTGCGGGAGTCTCAGGGGGACCCCCCCACACAAATGGAGAGTCCTTTCTCTGCATTAGGTATTCTGCCCCACAGATTTCAGCCACTCAGCCCCCCAAACTCAAATTTTCTTCTCAATGCAGCAGTACTACCCTGCTTTTCTCAGGGTCTTCCTCTTTGGACAACAGATTTTATTATTTTTATTCTTTATTTGACTTTGTGGCTGCACTGGGTGTCCGTTGCTTTGTGCGGGCTTTCTCTAGTTTTGGTGAGCAGGGGCTACTCTCTAGTTGCGTTGCGCAGCTTCTCATTGCACTGGCTTCTCTTGCCGCGCAGTGAAGGCTCTGGGCATGCAGGCTTCGGTGACTGCAGCACTCGGTCTCAGTAGCTGGCATACAGGCCTAGCTGCTCTATGGCATATGGAATACTCCTCCAGGGGACCTGTGTCACCTGCATTGGCAGGCCAGTTCCTATCCACAGCACCTCCAGGGAAGTCCCATGGAATATGAATTTTTTTTTTCTCTCCTGTATTTTATTTTATTTTCACTTATTTTTATTAGTTGGAGGCTAATTACTTTACAATATTGTAGTGGTTTTTGTCATACATTGACATGATTCAGCCATGGATTTACATGTGCTCCCCATCCCGGTCCCCCATCCCACCTCCCTCTCTACCCGATCCCTCTGGGTCTTGCCAGTGCACCAGGCCCGAGCACTTGTCTCATGCATCCCACCTGGGCTGCTGATCTGTTTCACCGAATATGAATTTTTTAAAAATGTGTTTTTTATTTGGCTTCCTCAAGTCTTGGTTGTGGCATACAGGGTCATTTTGTTGTGGTGGGGGGACTCCAGAGCATACAGGCTCAGTAGTTGCAGCGCATGTGGCATCTTAGTTCCTCGATCAGGGATTGAACCCAGGACCCTGGCATTGGAAGCCCAGAGTCCTAACCACTGGACCACCAGGGAAGTCCCCTGGACTGTGGATTTTGCTGCAGACACGCAGTGTGTCTACACTTGGAAAGCCAAAGTCATCACAGGGCTTCTGCATTTGTATCCCTTTTCTCAGCAGTCAAGAAAGTACCACCGTCCTGCCTGTGGTACAATGTCTGAAAAGAACTGTTCCATGTTTTTGTAGGGTTTCCAGTTGTTTCATGTAGGAGTGAACATCTGTTCCAGTCACTTCATGGTATAAGGCAGAAAACCCTCAGCCACAGGCTAGAATCTCTAGCCCATGCACATCAATACTTGCCCACTCGCATGAGAGCTGGAACTGCCTGCTCAGTACATGGTATTACTTTTATGTTTTGCTCCAGCTAGCCTTATGGCTTAAATGTGATTCTTTTATATTTAATAACATTGTAGTAAATTGTAGGTTTTAGAAAATCGACTTAAAAGGTAATTTAATATGTGCAGCTGTTAAAATTCTCTTAATCAAAATGATCATCTTTTGGTTTTTGTGTTTGGATTCATGTAATATTTATTTCAGTCAAGTCCATTATATTTAGGAACTATTAACTTGTAATGTTAAAAAGAACTGTTGAGGCTTGCTGTTACTTAACATAGCTTAAACTAAAATGTCGAGGTACAGGCTCAATAGGCTCTTGAGAATGAGCAACGGACCAGAAGCTGAGTTACTCATGTTCATTTTGTCTGGGAACTACCACATCTGCCACTGAGGCTGAGTAATCATGACTTATTAGTGTGGTTATGGAAAGTATATATCAACTTAATTGTGTGAACCGTCCTTTCTTTAGGGAAAATATTCTCACCAGATTGCTGAAATTTTTCCCTTTTTAGAATCACTTAAAATTAAAACTGTGAATAAGTCTTTTATCTTGTTGAATGACCTGTTTAATCAGTTGATGTGCATATTTTTTTTATATTTCTGGAATAGAAATGTAGTTTTTTCCTTCCTCTGTATCCCAGAAATCTCATTATTTTAGTGTCTAAGTTCAAGTTTTGTTCTCCTAGAGTTCGTTTCTAGAGGACAGTTGTGTAGGGATATCATGAACAAACTCTTGAACTTCTTTTGTTTTGCCTTAAGTAGTATCACATTTCTCTTTTGTGTTTTCACATAGTGAATGTGGAAGTTAACAGGTTTTTTTTAATTGCGTCTGATGCTTATCTGTAAGTGTACAACAAGAAATTTTTCACTAATTATTCAGTTCCTCTGAATTCTACAAACTTTAGTTTGTGTGTGTGTGTAGGATCACAAAATAATTCTTTTTTCTCCATCTGTGAAATATCTTTTATGCACATAATAATATTCAGAGAAACAGCTGTAGATTTCGTGATTAATCACAGGTTCTCAAAAAAATACCATTCCTTTTTAAAAGATTCTATAATTATTTTTAAACTTATTATTACTGTTTATAGTTCTCTGCAAATTAAAACTCAAGAAAAAGAGGAACAGACTAAAAATTCACATAGGTTTCTTTTTGGCTCAGAGGAAAACTTTATAGTTAATTGATTCAGTGCCAAGTGTAGGCCTTCTTCTTATAGATTTTTATTTGAACGCAAAGTGCCCCTGCATTTAGGGGGAAAGGGAGCTTAGATTTATGAATATCTTTCTTTTACATATTACATGCAACAAAAAAATTTGCTTAATATCACCTTTTATTTTGATAGCAACAGGAGTTCTTTAATGTTTTATTCTCATTGCTACATCTTATTCAGTTTGTCTTTGAACCACAGATTCTTTGACCATATGGTTTAAAAAGACTTTTTAAATCCAAAGATCACTTACTGTATGTGTGTCTATATATACATCTGTATGTGTGTGTATAATTTTTTCTACAAATACAGTATTTTTCTTTATAACAGTGAATGGCTAATACTTTCTGAGGGCTTACTATATGCCCAGCACTAATTCAAGTATATTTATATAAATTAACTAATTGAAACCTCACAGTATCCCCAGAATGTAGGTCCTGAAGGTGTTTTATCATTACCATTTTATAGATGAGGAAAGCAAGACTTAGTAAGAGGCAGAGGCCAGAACCTCAGTCAGAACATCTGGCTGTAGAAGTTATGCTTATGGCAATAGTATGTTTTAAAGTGAATACTGGCATCATGTATGTTAGAGCAACATGTTAAGAGTGCCCAGCTTCTAGAGCTTACACTTCATGAGAACCTTGGAAATTAGCAATGGATTTTATTGACAGCTTGATTGTATTTAGGGTTTTTTAATTTTGAAACTAGATAAAGCCATCAAATGAATATAATTCTTTTGCCTTGCTAAAGAGTAGGTTAAGTGATTTTTCTGAGGTTGCTTATTTTCTGACCCTTAATAGACTATAAGAACCTACTTGAAACCCTAAAGGAACTTGTTTAAAACGTTCCCATGTCCACTTATTGAATCAATTTATGCTTAGGGGACCCAGGAATTTATATTTTTAACAAAGCCCCTTGTTGATTATTATGCAGATACCTCATATTGGCATACATGTTCATTTGAGAACCATTATATTTAAACCTTTATCACACATCTAAATATTAACTCATTTTAATCTAATATATTATTATTAATTTATAATGGTTCAAAAATAAAGGTACAAAGCAGCACAAAATCTTCCATAGAAAAAATTACTTTAAAAGAAAAATCCATTGGTACTGGTTGCACACTTTTATTTTTGTTTTAAATCTCAGTGAGAAAGATAAATAAGGTAGTTACTTCATCAACTATTGTTTTTTGAAATATAGTTAGTTTATAATGCTGTGTTAGTTTCAAGTGTACAGCAGAGTGATTCAGTTATATACATGTATGTATATACTTTCTCAGAGTCTCTTCCATTGTAGGTGATTGAAAGATACTGAATATAGTTCCCTGGGCTATACAGCATATCCTTGTTTACATTTTTATATATAGTAGTGTATATATGTTAATCTCAAACTCTTAATTTCCGCACCCCCTCCCCCCACTATTCCCTTTGGTAAACATAAGTTTATTTTTCTGTGTCTGCATCAACTTTTTTATGTAAGGAAAAAAGTAGTATTCTTAAAGTATGCCTAAAGAGTAGGGGCACAGGAGGTTTTTTACATGTCTTACAAATGACATGTATGGATAAATAAGAATCAAGTGAGAAATCATGGATTCCAGAGACTCGTGTTAGGGAAAGGAGGTTGACTACAAAAGGACACAAGGGAACTTTTTGCCTTGATGGAAATGCTGTGTATCTGTATCCTGATTAGTGATGGTTCTATGACTAAATATAATATTGTCAAAACTTAGCCTGAACTACAGATCTAAAAAAATGACTCTTACTATATGTAAATTTACCCCCATAAATTTGAAATTGGTTTTTAAAAAAGTAAACCTTGAAGAGATTCTGGGAGTGATTATTTTTTCAAATTATCAGTTGCATCTTGAAATACCTGGGTGAATTCTTGTTCTTTAAAAGCTAACATTTTTCTATTAATGTGTAGTGATTAAGGTAACATTAAAATAACATTGTGATAATTTCTTTTTCTTTAACATTTCTCATCAAAGTTTTCTCATATTTTTTTTTGTAGGGTCCACATATAGCTTCAGTTACATTAGCTGCTTATGAGTGCAATTCAGTTAATTTCCCTGAACCACCTTATCCTGATCAGATTATTTGCCCAGATGAAGAGGGCACTGAAGGAGCCATTTCTTTATGGAGCATCATCTCAAAAGTTAGGATTGAGGCCTGCATGTGGGTAAGATGTCCGTTTTCATGCTTACCTAAAATTAACCTCGCTGTCTTGATTCTTTGTACCTTGTTGAATCCAAACATATACCAAGTCAGTAAATAATTAATTCGTAAAGTCACCAACTACCTAACTTCCGTGGAAAAGAAATCTCTAGAGCTTCTCTTCAGAGAAGACAATGGTAACCCACTCCAGTACTCTTGCCTGGAAAATCCCATGGACGAAGGAGCCTGGTAGGCTGCAGTCCATGGGGTTGCGAAGAGTCGGACACAACTCAGTGACTTCACTTTCACTTTTCACTTTTCACTTTCATGCACTGGAGAAGGAAATGGCAACCCACTCCAGTGTTCTTGCCTGGAGAATCCCAGGGACGGGGGAGCCTGGTGAGCTGCCGTCTGTGGGGTCGCACAGAGTCGGACACGACTGAAGTGACTTAGCAGCAGCAGCAGAGCCTCTCTTTGTAAAATAACATGCAGAAGGAAGGCAGGAAACTATAGGTACCACCAAGTATTGATGCCAAGGAGACAATAGCAGGGAAAAGGAATATAAATGATGCAAATATATTACTTTATAAAGTTTTACTGATGTTTATAAAATTTGATAAACACGTAGCAAATGGTTATATATCAGTCCAAATTTGGTAAGTATTATATGTCTCTCTCTTAGATTTAAATACTCTGTTTAGTTTTAGAAGATTCATTTCATTTTCTGAATTGTAATACTAAAGGTCAGACATTTCTTCATAAACTAAGCTTTACTGTATTTGAGATGAGATCAAACTATATGATGATTTTACTTTCAGTAGTATCAATTATTCTTTTTATGGCTTGGTTAATATATTTTGGGAAATTTTGAACTACATGATCAGTGGTAAATGTATTTTAATCTATATCCACACAAAGCATTTTTTATATGCCTAAATTCATTCAGGTGTCTGTTATTGAGGAATAGTTCAGTTGCTAAAGACTTCTTATTGCCACTTGAATTATTTTTTTAATTTATTATTTGGAATTACTAAGTTTTATGTCCCTGTAACTTTTTTCCCTTAACAGTTTCTTACAAAATAAAAAATGTGAAACACATCTCTTAAATGTCTCAATTAAAGTGAAGATGAATACAGTGCCCACAGGAGAGGCAGTTTTGAAACACACTCAAATGTTAGAGATTACGCTGTGCTTTAAAAGAATTAAAAGGGAAATGCCATTTATTGAATTTGTTGAATATGAAAAACAGGAAAAATTGTCATATTTCCTGTTACTGTCTTAAAAATACTGGAAACAAATTCATTGTACTAGTTGCATATGTTTTATAAATTTCATCACATTAGTCCTTTGATGAAAAGCTGTTAATAAAATAACTAGTTACTTGGAACATGCTAGAGAGGGTATATGTATATAAACTTCAGTTTTCTGTTTTTCTTTTGTTCTTTCAAAATGATATAAGTGGCTCAATTAACACTAATGCCAACAAAGAAATTTTCATCCCAGCTGGCAGTGATAACTACCTCTTCCAAATTCCTATGGTGTGTACTATCTGAAACGCTCATTTGGTCCGGCTCCATGCATGCCTCAAATTACTTGAATTTCCTGGTGTAGTGGCTTACTTCCCCAAATAAATTTTTAGCTTCTCAAAAAAATTCAGGCTGTACCTTAAATTAAATGTATTACCCTCACAGCAGTCAGCATTAGGCTTTGCTTATTATAGTTTTACAAGAATGTCAGAAAACGCTGATTAATTGTGTGTGTTTGTTCCTCAATATTTCCTTCTTTGAAGCTGTCTTTTGTGACAAAAAATGTAGCATATATCAAGTTATGTTTAAATTGATTTCTATTGTTTTCACCATTTATAAGGACAGTCCTTTTAACAAAAAGTGCTAGGAAAACTGAATATGGTTATTGTTGTTTAGTCCCTTACTTTGTGTCCAACTCTTTGTAACCTCTGCACTGAAGACAGAGGTTATATATATGGACAGCAGCTCCTCTGTCCATGGGATTTCCCAGCAAGAATACTGGAATGGGTTGCCATTTCCTTCTCCAGCGGATCATCCTGACCCAGGGATCAAACCCATGTCTCCTACATTGGCAGGCGGATTCTTTACCACTGAGACACCAGGGAAGCCCAGGGAAAACTGAATATCCACATGCAAAGAGAGAGATTGGATCCTTACATTATACCATATGTAAAAATTAACTCAAAATTCATCAAAGACCTAAACTTGAGTTCAAACTCTAAGACACTTAGAAGAAAATATCGAGACAAATCTGCATAACAATTGGGCAGTGGTTTCTTAAATAAGACACTGAAAGTAGAGGCCACAAAAGAAAGAAAATAGATAAATTGAACTTTGCTACAATTGAAAGCTCTTGTACATCAAAGGGTACAGTATCACGAGAGTGAAAAGAGAACCCACGAAAAGGAGGAAAATGTTTATAAGTCATATATCAGATAAGGATTTAATATTCAGGGTGTTTAAAGAACTATGCAACTCAACAATAAGAAGATTAACAACCCAATTTAAAAATGGGCAAAGGACTTGAATAAACACTTCTCCAAGGAAAAGATACAGATAGCTAATAAGTTCACAAATTCTCAACATCATTAGTTGTTGGGGAAATGCAAATCCAACCATAAGGGATTACCTCTTCGCATGTATTAGGATGGCTATTATTCTTTTAAAAAGAATAATGAGTATTGGTGAAGATGTGGAGAAATTGGAACACTCCTAGGTTGCTGGTGGGAATGTAAAGTGATTCAGCTGCTATGAAAAAGACTTCGGTGGTTTCTCGAAAATGTAAACATAGAATTACTCTGTGACCCTACTCTAATGTAAATACCCAAAAGAACTGAAAACCAGGGCTCAAATATAACTATAGAAACTTGTAGCTCACTGTTAAGCAACATTATTCATATTATCAGAAAGGTAAGCCACAAAATTAAAAGATGCTTACTCCTTGGAAGGAAAGTTATGACCAACCTAGCCAGCATATTAAAAAGCAGTGACATTACTTTGTCAGCAAAGCTCCGTCTAGTCAAGGCTATGGTTTTTCCAATAGTCATGTATGGATGTGAGAGTTGGACTGTAAAGAAAGCTGAGCACTGAAGAATTGATGCTTTTGAAATGTGGTGTTGGAGAAGACTCTTTGAGAATCCTTTGGACTGCAAGGAGATCCAACCAGTCCATCCTAAAGGAGATCAGTCCTGGGTGTTCATTAGAAGGACTGATGCTGAAGCTGAAACTCCAGTACTTTGGCCACCTCATGCGAAGAACAGACTAATTTGAAAAGACCCTGATGCTGGGAAAGATTGAAGGCGGGAGGAGAAGGGGATGACAGAGAATGAGATGGTTGGACGCATCACCGACTCAATGGACATGAGTTTTGAGTAAACTCTGGGAGTTGGTGATGGACAGGGAGGCCTGGCTTGCTGCGGTTCATGGGGTCGCAAAGAGTAGGACACAGCTGAGCAGCTGAGCTGAACCCTCAATAGATGAATGGATAAACAAAGTGTGGTATATACACAGAATATTACTCAGCCATGAAAAGGAATGAGATTTTTATACATGCTACAATATAGATGAACCTTGAAAACATAGTAAGCAAAATAATCTAGACATAGAAAGATATTGTATGATTCCGCTTAAATCAACTGTCAAGAGAATTCAGATTTGTTATAAAGACACAAAAACAGATTTGGGGGGACTTCACTTGTGGCCCAATGGTTAAGAATCTGCCTGCCAATGCAAGGGATGTGGGTTTGATCCCTGGTCTAGGAAGATCCCACATGCCATGGAGCAACCTAAGCCAACATGCTGCAACAACTGAGCATACTTGCTAAAACTGCTGCAGCCCACAGGCCTAGAATCCATGCTCTTAAAGAAGAGAAACCACCTCAGTGAGAAGCACATGTGCTGCAACAGAGAGTAACCTCTGCTTGCCACAACTAGAAAAGGCCCATCACAGCAGTGAAGACCCAGCGCAGCCAAAAATTAAATAAATATTAATAATTAGTTAATTTAAAAATAAGCCCCATGATGGGGTAGATTTTTTTTTTTAAGTAGATTTGAGGTTACCAGCATTGTGGGGAATGAGAAGTTAATGCCTAATGAATAACAGTTTCCATTTGGATGAAGAAAACTACTGGAAATATTTTTTATATTTTATCCTTTCATAAAATTGATCTCATTTGTGTTCACATCCATATTTTTCATTTCATTACAAATATAGTAAATCAGTAAAATCCTTGAAATATGTATGTATGAAATATGTACTTCCAGTTATAAAAATCAGTGGCAACCTCACTTTCAGTCTGTTCATATAAGTCTTTGGAGCCCATTAAAATGAATTGTTTGGTGTTGCTGATCAGTGGCTTACCTCTTTTCAGTTTGTATCTTTCTGATATTTCACAATTTGTATCACTAGTGTTCAGTTCAGTTCAGTTGCTCATTTGTGTCCGACTCTTTACAACCCCGTGGACTGCAGCATGCCAGGCCTCCCTGTTAATGACCAACTCCTGGAGTTTACTCAAACTCATGTCCATTGAGTGAGTGATGCCATCCAACCATCTCATCCTCTGTCATCCCATTTTCCTCCCACCTTCAATCTTTCCCAGCATCAGGGTCTTTTTTAATGAGTCAGTTCTTCGCATCAGGTGGCCAAAGTATTAGAGTTTCAGCTTCAGCATCAGTCCTTCCAATGAATATTCAGGACTGATTTCCTTTAGGATGGACTGGTTGGATCTCCTTGCAGTCCAAAGGACTCTCAAGAGTCTTCTCCAACACCGCAGTTCAAAGCATCAATTCTTTGGCACTCAACTTTCTTTCTAGTCCAACTTTCATATCCATACATGACTACTGGAAAAACCACGGCCTTGACTGGACGAACCTTTGTTGGCAAAGTAATGTCTCTGCTTTTTAATATGCTGTCTAGGTTGGTCATAGCTTTTCTTCCAAGGAACAAACGTCTTTTAATTTCATGGCTGCAATCATCATCTGCAGTGACGTTGGGGCCCCC